TGGCCAAGAAATGACTCGTGAGCTGAACATATCGCAATATTCCATATGGCAAATATTGAAAAGTGAGCTCGGGGACAAGAGCTAAAGAGTTGCTTCGCTTGGCTTGGTGAACTGCCGAATTTGGTTTTCTCCGATGAGGAAACATTCGTTGTCCAGCAGTTTGTAAACAAACAAAATGATCGTGTTTACTTGCCAATGAGGTAAGGTAAATGTGCATCTTCGGTTGGCCACCAGAACTCAAGCGCCGCCCATGCTGATAGTGTGGGTCGCCAAACAACAGATAGTGGCTCTCCGCTCGTATTAATCGATCGTGGCATTAGAATAAATGCCGAATATTATTGCGAAAATATTCTGGAGGGTGTATTAAATCCTTAGCCACGCAAAAATTTTGGCCGCAGACCTTGGACATTTCAACAGGACTCAGCACCATCGCACTCAGCACGCGGCACCTAAGAATGGTTACAAAATTAGGTTCCTTGCTTCATTTCCAGCGTACAATGGCCACCAAAATCTCCGGATACCAATCCGTTGGACTATGGTGTCTGGAGTATTTTGGAAAACAAGGTTGGCACTAAAAAATACCAAAGTGTCAATCAACTTAAGCAAGCGCTTCGCCGGGAATGGGCCAAAATATCGCAGAGCAACATCCGGGCAGCGTGTGACGGTTTCATTGGTCGTTTGAAGGCCATAATTCGTGCAAAAGGTCACCAATTCGCACAAATCTAAACTTATTCTAAAATTTGATGCTATTTCCGACATTTTTTGATTTCATTCAATAAAATTAAAAAAATGTAAAAATTATGTCGTTCGACTTTGTTGCAGTTTTTTTTTCATCTCACCCTGTATTGGCAAACTGCCTCGGAAACTCCCCCATAAAGGGTTAACAGTTTGAACAATCATAAGTGAAGGCTGGGGGTATACATCTGTCGGCAAAAACGACTGATACTATTTTAGTTGGTAAGCTCTACTTTCAGAATCTGTTTTTTTTTTCTGTTATTATTTTTGATGTTACTTGTCTGTGTCAGAATCTGGAAATGAGTACTATTTTTAATCAATATTCAATATTATATTTTCGATGTTTCGATATTTTAAAGGAAAAATCGGAACAAAGCAATTATTATCCACCGTAGAGAAAGATATATGTTTGTAAACTTGATTCATTTATTTTTTGCCAGTTATTGCACAAAACTTGCATGGAAAACGATTGTTGATTTTGTTTTTTATACAACATATCAATAGGGGGTACAAATTTAAGTCTGCCTGGACCACTCCGGTAGAATTTTGATAGAATTTCCCCAGTGCGAAATAAGTCAAATTCGACAATGCCTTTAATACGTTTCATACACCTAATTTGCTGACTCATACTTTGCTAACACATCCTTGTTTGTGACTGTTCACATCTATTTGCAATGCAAATAATTTTGATATTTTTTCTTCACCTTCCTGAGATTGTTTTCTCTTTCCACTCTTCAAGAGTTCTCCACGTTGCTCTATTATTATTTAGACATCATTTGTGTGATGAAGAACAAAAGGTGTGATTGGATTGGGTCACATGACCCTTATTATGTCCGTTGGGGGGTTTGTGGAAGTGGGGTCTATTTGCTTTTGCTAATGGCTGTTTGTTCTTTGCAATTTTGATTCCTTTTTGCCAGGTTCTCATTTCAAAATTCTTTTTCTTTTTGCAGTTGTTTGCCATTTTATTATATGTTTTGTCATTTTCTCTGTCATGTGTTCTTTTGTGGGAGGGGGGGGTCAACCTGAAGATGAGAGTGTCATGAGTCCACTCCACAATATTGGCACGTTTCAAGAGGGATTTTTTAGTTTCAGGTGTCTAGCGTTTAATGATGTGTACAGCAGAGGTGGGTGTGGGTGTTTTGGATATTTACGTTTTTATAAGGAATAATTTTGATTTGGGTCATTTAAATATTAAAAACAATGACCTTGAACTGGAATTAAATATATTACTTCTACCATATTTTTTAAAGGAAATAGTTATGAAATTGGAGCTAAGATTAGTATTGAACCCAAAATGTGTGTCCCAAATCTAGGTGACTCCATAAAATTCAAAAATCCTATGATTTTTGTTTTTGAGGGGCATTGAAGATATCAATTGGGCCGTAGCAAATATATCGACGCCTTACTAAATAAGGTCTTAAAATAGAGCAATTCGAACCAGTCGGGTTTGCCGACAGATGTATACCCTCAGGCAATGTTCGATTTGACTTCTGTTATAATTATTGAAATTATAACCCTCTATGGAGTAGAGGTCAATTCTGAAAATGGAACAATATTGTTCATTTCATATCGGCACTAAAAAAATATGATATAAATATTGCGAAGTGCCCTGTTATAGACCAAATCAACATCGACTACGTGGGTAAAATTACAAGAAAATCGAACATTTATAACCAATTTTGCGTGAAATCATATTAATCTCAGATTTCAAAATATTAAATTTTCCGGGGGAGGTACCAGAAAAAATGGTCCAATCTGTACCATCTTTATAACAGATCTAGCTTTGATGAAAATATTGAGATGTATCGCATCTGAATGGAACCGGATGTTAATTTCGCATTTTATGAGCTTCATGGGTATTCAAAATTTGAAACTTTGTGTGGGAGGTACAAGAAGAACTGGGCCGTTGTATCCCATCTTCACAGCAGTTCTTGTGTTAGTAGAAATAATGGGATCTGTGAAATATGAAGAGAACCGGATGTTAATTTCGGATTTTATAATCGTTTCGGTTATTCAAAACTTTGACCCTTTGTGGAGAAGATACCAGAAGGTGTGGTCCGATCTCTACGATATATGCAACATATATTGTGTTAATACAAATATTGATATATTCCGAATCTGGATGGAATTGGATGTTGGTAGAAATATTGGGATGTGTGAAATATGAAGAGGACCGGATGCCTATTCTGGATTTAATAATTATTTGAGTTATTCAAAACTTTGACCCTTTGAGGGGAAGGTACCAGAAGGAATCGACCGATACATTCCATCTTCAAGCCAGATCTTTTGTTTATAAAAATATTGAGAAATATCGAATTTTAATGGAATCGGGTGACTATTTGGCGTTTTATGATCTTCATAGTTATGTGGGGGAAGTACCAGAAGGAGTGGACCGAAATCTACCTTCTTCGCAACGGATCTTGTGTTGATAGAAATATTGAGAAATACCGAATTTTAGTGGAATCGGGTGACCATTTAGCATTTTACGACCTTCAAAGTTATTCAAAATTTTGACCCATTGTGGGTGAGGTACCAGAAGGAGCGGACCGATACATTCCATTTTGAAGCCAGATCTTGTGTTTATAAAAATATTGAGATGTGAGAAATTTGAAAAAATCGGACCCTTACATCACATTTTATGAGAGTTGTAATTATTCAAAATTTTGACTCTTTGTGGGGGAGGTACTTGATAGAGTGAGCCGATCCATTGTCCATTTTTGCACCTGGCCTAGCACTGATGCAAATATTAGGATTTGCAAAGGTGGAGCAAAATCGGACTATCCTCTCTTTTTGTGTGCAGTAAAATATTTAGTTTTTTTTTTTTTTTAATTTTGACCTTTTGTGGGAGTGGTACCAGAAGGAGTGGACCGATATTGCCCATCTCCGAACTCGATCTAAGTTTGACAAACATATTACGTTGTACCAAGTTTGAACCAAATCGGATACTCCTTTCGAGAGTTATCGTGCGCAGCAGCCAGCCAGTGAACCGAACAGAGAGACAGGCAGACAAATAGACGGACGGACAATCCTAGATCGACTCTGAATATTCTGAAACAGATTTGGTCCAAAGAGACCTAGGGTTTAGAGCCGTTATTTCGATGAGACACGTTTTGGCCTGTCAAATGATATATGCTCTCTCTAGCCATATGGCTGAGGATATCAAAGGGCTATATAGTTCCACATTTTGGTATAGCTTCCATTTTACTCTACCGCAAAATTTGAAGGTTTTTGGGTGTTTTAGTCACTGAATTTATTGTATATGTTCCCGTTATGGATGAAGCATCCCTGTATTGAAATGTCAATATAGGTCTGAGTTTTCCCAAAGGTCCCATATAACTGTACCTCCAGATACTCGGTAGTTGGATGCCATACTTTTCACCGGAATTGGTTCAAATTTCATGTTGTAAGTTCATAACGGGTACTACAGCCTGGGACAGAAAATTGCCAGTGCAGGTCCACGTCTTCGTGATGGTGCCAATATAAGCATTACTTTCGATATTCGGTACTTTTATGATTTTAGCAGTATTTTTCAACGGTTTTTTTAATTGCAAGTTTCTTAAAAATGGTGAAGAGTTTTACAAGTTCGACCCCGCCGAACTTACAGTTTTTTCACTTGTCTAAACTATTGATTTTTGTTTTTGAGGAGTATTAAAAATAGGAATTGACCCAGAGCAAATATATCGCCACCTTACCACCAACAATAGAGCAATTCTGACCTCTCACAACCCCCCCCCCCCCCCCCCCCTGTTATGGTTCCAAAAACATTTTAAGCTCTAATGAAATTGTGTGACATTTCATGCAAAGTCTTCAAAAGTCTACATCAATTTGTTTCCATGCTAATTTAGTGGCCCCTAGCTATTTTCCAACTTGACTTCCTTGAGTGGTGGTGGTGGTGGTAGTGTTAGTTACCCGCTTTAGTCACGGTCAGTGTCTCTTCTGGTCGGAAGCGGGTGTGCTAGTGACATTTGTAAACAGCACATTCCATTTGGCCCCAAGGTCCGAAAATATTCTTTCATGTTTAATTTGTCTGTCCTGCCGTCCGGCTGTCGTTTCCTTGTGTTTCTTTGCCTTTACCTTTAAACTATGGCAATGAAAAACTGTTAGATTTATTAGTAGCTTTGACTTGTCGTACCCGAAGCCATCTATGGCTATTGACATTTGCAAAAGCAACAAAAGCCGGTGAGGGTGGGTGGATGAATAAAAAGAAGATGGGAAGATACGAAAAAAAAACGGAAACATCTTATATTGTAAATGGCCATATTTACCTGTCACCAGATTGGCATGATGAAATTGACAAACAGCATCTGCTTCGAACCATGATATCCGATCTCGAAAGAAACGGTAGAAGACATTAAGACCCTCCTGTGGCATTGTCCAAGTGTTGCTGACATTTACCTGTTTCGCAAAAAAGAGAGAAGTTGGCAGAAAGCAAAGAAGAAAAGGAAGAAGAAAAAGAGATGAAACAAAATACTATTTAGTAATGTTAAGGCTAACGAATAAAGGTCGGTTTTCTTTTAATATAACAATATGTAAATGTGTGTATGTGCTGCTTTAAGATTTAAAATTGTATGTTTGAATATTTTTTAACTTAATTTCTATTTGCAAAAATAAATTTAAAATGTTGATAAAAAAATATAAAATTTATTTGGATTGACTGAAGTAACTAAACGAAGGAGGAAAAACTGGGGCTACAGCGTACTCTCCCCTAGATATTAAGCAATTTGTTACACAGGGTAACCCCTTTTTAGGACTATGCGGCATCTTAGAAATTAAACAAAACTAATAATTTGGACATTTGGTTTTGATCTGCGTAATAGATACTACGGCTTTAGACAGGAAATGGGCCATGTAGGTTCACGTCTTCGTATAGCTGCCATATAACGGTAGCTGCCGATATTCGGTATTTTGATGATTTTAGAGACATTATTTACCGGAACTATTTCAAATTTAGTATTTGAAATTCGTAATGAATACTACAGCCTGCCTGCGCAGGTAACCGTTTTCGTATAGCCCCCATATAACGGTACCTCCCGATATTCGGTATTTTGATAATTTTAGTGATAATATTCAGCGGAATGATATTAATGATATTAGCTACATTATTACCGATTTTTTTAAGTTTCGCATTTGAATATTGTAATGGCTTATGACAAATGTTAGCTATGCAAGTCCATGTCATTGTATAGACCTTAATATAACAGCTACATTCGGTATTTTTAAGATTTTAACAGAATTTTTAACGGATTTTATTGTGTTTGAGAATTGCCAAATTCGTTCCAAATGGTGGAGGATATTAAAGTTCGGCCTGACCGAACTTACAGCTTTTTTACTTTTACTCAAAATGCATAATTGTTTATTTTTGACAAACTTTTCTAATCATAACTTACGTACGATTTATGGTACTTAATTTTGAGACTTTCAAGGTAGTCTATACTATTCAGGGTTTCCCTGTTTGGAAAGAACAATAGAAAAATAGGTATCTTTTACACCAAAAAGTCTTCAAAATCATTCATTTTGAAGTTGACCGAGGAGGATGTTAGTAAAATCATTGCAGAGTGGACACGCATTTTCCATATGTAAACCCTTCTCCCTATACCAAGTGTAGTACTACTTAGTACTTTTCATTAAATGATAGTACACATTTCCAACATCAGATATATCAACACAGAACTCAATAAGAAAATTCTAAATTCCAGCCCTATCCCTTCACCGAATATTAAATTTAGTACTTGTCGTAAAAAATAGTACACATTTCTAAAGCTACCTTCATATCTCAATTGCAGATATCAACAGAGACCTCAAGATCAAATTTGAGCTTTACAGCCCTATCTCTTCACCCAATACAAAATTTAGTACCATTCAAGACTGTTCGTACAAATAAAGTACACATTTCCACAATCACTTTCACATGTCCAGGCTACACAGGAACAGCGGCCCTAATATCAAATTTCAGACTTCAAGCACCCAATGTCAAATTGTACCAAATATAGTTCCATTTCGTAATTTTCGTGCACTTGTAGTACCCATTTGTCACAAATCAACCACCAAAAGGGACCCCAATAAAAATGCAAAAATGCCATCTCCATCTGTTCACCCTAAAACAAACTGTTTCATATTTGGTACCATATAGTACAGTTCGGATACTTAGTACACATTTCCAAAATCAACTTCGTATATCAAACGTAATCTTGATTCTTATACCTAATTTCAAGTGTTTAGCTATATCGGTCCACTTAATGCGAAATGGTACCATTTAAGTACTATCCTTACCCATTTAGTACAAAATTCCAAAAACTCAGCCTCATCACATGCCTACGCAAGATTCTAGCTTCAGCCGTTTCATTTGGGCGTTGATTCTGGAACAGTCTGTCAGTTATTATTCCCCAAAACGGCCAAAATGTGCCTCATCGAAATAACGGATTTAAACCCTAGCTCTCTTTGGACATAATCCGTTTCAGGACATTTGGAGGCGGTCTAGCGATGCCGTCTGTCTGTCTACCTGGCTGGTGCGCACGAAAACTCCGAGCTGGTTCAAACTTCGTACATCGTCATATAATTATTAAACTTAGATCGAGTTCGGTAATGAGTAATATCGATCCACTCCTTCTGGCAACTCCCCCACAAAAGGTCTAAATTTTCAAAAGAAGTAAGATAGTATCAGCCGGTTTTGTCGACATATGAATTACGATTATTCAAACTGTTGACCCCTCCTGATATGAACATTCCAACGTGCCAGATTTATACTATATCGACTACTTCCTATACTTTATATAAGATATGTGCAATTTTTTGGGAAATGTAGAAATATGCGTGATGTAACATATATTGCGACCGAAGTACTCCATTTTCATACCTATTGTAATACAGAAATTCCGATAAAATGCACATTCATATCAGATTTCTGGTTAAGAGAAATATTTAAATAAAGAATTGCCGAATTGTTTCGCAAGTTATGACAGATTTAAGAATTGGAAATTGTGACCCTTTTTGGGTGAGGTACCAGAAGGGGTTGGCAAATATATACCATCTTTACAACAGATGTGGCGTATATTTGGATGTGTGAAACTTGAAGATAGTTGGATGCTTGTTTCGCTTTCTTTGAGCGTTTGGTTTTTCAAAATCTTAAACCTTATTTGGGAGAGGTATCAGAAGATATGATCCTATCTCTACCATCTTTATGAAAGATTTTACGCTGATGGAAATATTGGAATCTGCCAAGTCTGAATGGAATCGGATGTTAATTTCGCGTTTTAAGAACTTCATGAATATTCAAAAAGTTGACAATTTGTGGGGGAGGTACCAGAAGGAGGGGACCGGTTATTCCATCTTCACACCAGACCTTGGGTTAATTAAAATGTTGTGATGTGTGAAATATGAAGATAACAGGATGCTTATTTTGGATTTTATAAACGTTTTGTTAATTCAAAATGTTAACCCTTTTTAGAGGGAGTTACCAGAAGGAATGGTCCGATCTCTACCATCTTTATTGCAATTCTTGTGTTGATGGATATATTGAAATGTACCAAGTCTGAATGAAATCGGATGTTAATTTCGTATTTTATGAGCTTCATGAATATTCGAAATGTTGACCCTTTGTTGAGAAGGAGGGGACCGATATTGTCTATTTTCGCACCTGACGCAAATATTAGGATTTGCAAAGTTGGAGCAAAATCTGATTATCGTTTCTCTTTCTGTGCAAAAAATATTTTTTTTTTTGAAAATTTCGACCATTTGTGGCGAAGGTACCAGAAGGAGTGGACCGATTTATTCCATCTTGGCACCAGAGCTTGGGTTAATAAAATTATTAGAATGTGTGAAATTTGAAGGCGATCGGACACATTTTATATGAGTTGTAATTATTCAAATTATTGACCCTTTGTGTGGAAGGTACCAGAAGGAGTGCACCGATATTGTCCATTTTCGCATCTGACGTAGAACTGACGCAAATATTACGATTTGCAAAAGTTGGAGCAAGATCGAATTATCCCTTCTCTTTCTGTGTAGAAAATATTTTTCTCTGCAAATTTCGGTCTTTTTGTGGGGGAGATACCAGAAGGAGTGGACCGATATTGTCCGTCTCCGAACTCGATCTAAATTTCACAATAATATTACAATGTACGAAGTTTGGATCAAATCGGATACTCCCTTCGAGTTATCGTGCGCACCAGCCAAACAGACAGACAAATGTCCTGAATCGGATTTGGTCCAAAGAGACCTAGGGTCTAAAACCGTTATCTCATTGAGGCACGTTTTGGCCGTATCAACTGAAGTATACCCTCTGTAGTCATATGTCTGAGCGTATAAAAAATGTTTCTATATATCTCAACAAAGTGCAATGATTAAAAAAAGCTCAACTCTATTCAAACATACATACATCCCACAGATAAATTCTGTTCTTTACAATTTCCTTCCACTTGCAAACGAATGGCACATCCCTGACTTGAGATTGACATTCAAATATCGCCAGACATTTATCTTGGGCTAACATGCAAATTCGCAAATGTTTTTCATTTGATGCATTTGTATGTTTTTCTATTTTCTCTCTCTCTCTCTATCCCTCTTTGTCTTATATCCCGAAGACAACCTCACCAGCCGACTTTTGCAGCAACGAGAAACATAGAAGTTTCCTAAGACCGGATGATAAATATGCGGTAATAAAAAGTTGAAGAATTTATGCTTTTAAAAAAGCATTATGCAAAGAGAGATGAGGAGGAGGAAGAAGCAACCAACGAGTCATTCGTTGCACAAGAAACGTGAATAATTTAAGAATCGAAAAAAAAACAGGTAAGCAAAGCAATCCGTTTAAATTCCATTAAAAGTCTATGCAATTCTCACCGTTGAGAGAGGAAACGCTGCAGAAGTTGGAATTAAAATAATAATGAGATTTCCATCGTTTTTTATTAAAGTAATTAAAATTTAAATAAATTGCTGCTGGTTGTTGGTACTCCCCATTGGTTTGTATTTTTAATTTAACTGCATTATGTTTCTAGGGTTTGCTTTTTTTGCGCAGCGTTTGTAGGAATGATGGGAAAAAAATCAGATTGAATTCAAATGCAAAATTACTAAATGAAAATTAAAATGAATTACGAAAAAATATTAAAAAGTATCAATCGGTTTTGCCGACAAATGTATACCCTCTGCCAAGGTTCGATTATTCAAATATATTTTGCCTTCTTTTATGATTATTCAAATTGTTGACCCTCTATGGAGTAGGTTCCGTAGGAATTGATAAATATCGTACATGATATGATTTAAATATTGTGACGTGCCAGGTTTGGTCTGTATCGAATACTTCCATTTTCATACTTAATCAAAAATTGATATGAGAAAAATTACAAGAAAACTGGTTAAGAAAAATATTTAGATATAACAAGTTATAAAGAATCGCTGACTTA